CAAGGAGGTAGGGGAAGGAGGTGGTGGAGAAACGAGCAGAGCTACAGGGAAGGTAACTATTCCAGGCCGCAGATGTGAAGCCCTGGGGAGGAGCCCAGACACTACAGGAATGCAAAGACAATCCGTGTAGCTGCAGCAGAGAGGGGACACCAGTGTGTGGTGACAGTCAGGAAGCCAAGTTCACAGTCACAAGTGTGTCTTTCTTGGTAACTAGAAATGCACCTGTGCTGCCGGTCCACGGAGGCCTGGGCCGATGCCAGGGTGCACACGTCAGCATGGCCTGCCCCCACCCTGCTGCCCTGGGTGTGCACATCCCACAGACAGGAGGGGAAGGCGCCGGCTGTTGTATAAACATGGTGCATGCACGCGTGGGGCCGAGGGAACCTCTACACCTCAAACAGCCTTTGTTCCACAAGGATGAGGCACCTCAACTCCAGAGTCACCTGTCCACGCCACCCATATGCTCTGGCTTTTCCAAATGTGGGAAGCTGGACTAACAGCCCCTGCGAATCTCAGACAGAGGGCCGCCACCGCACCGGGAAACAGCCCTTTACCTTGAGGTCGTACTTGCGGTGTACAGTGAGGCGATGGCTGAACACATTCCTAGTGACCACCATGTAGGTTTCTACACCGTCCACAGTCAGGCGGTACATGCCCAGGAACTGTGGCAAAAGGGTGTTGCCGTGACACTCCACGATGAACTGCAACGGCAAGGAGGAAAAGCGGGAAGGCTAAGAGACACGAAGGTGCCCAGGATGGACGGGCTCTCCCCAGGCTCCCTGGGAGTCTCACCTACTGGCTTGGGAACTGGGTTCTGTGATGTCAGAGGGGTTTCTCAGACTTAGAAAAGGCAGCACCACCTCTGCCCCCAGATGCCTGGTTGAGTGTGACATGAGTTGAGCGGGCAGTGTAGAGCCCCTCTGTGTTCAAGTATTAGGATCTCACCTAAGTGCTCGCTTAAAATAGACCTGGACCACAGAAAAACCCAGGCCTTGAAGCTCCACTGCCAGCCTAACACTGGAAAGCCCAGGGCAGAGGGGCTGCAGAGGAGGTAGGGACCCAGCCATCGGGAGAACAGAATGGCTCCCTCCCCAGAGCTGTTTTCCACCACAGGTTTCTGCTGCAGCTCCCAAAAGACTACAAGTCTCCCTCACCACTTCTCAGGGGCCCCAGAAATGAACCCCGACCAGGTTGAGGACAGGCACTGGGATGGTACCCCAGCGCTCCCTGCTTTCCTCATGGCGATGAGTGGAGAGCCGGATCGGGAAAGGAAACAACCCTGCTGAGCCAACAGACCTCTCAGAGCAGAAATGAGGCAGACGCCACAGTGTGAGAGCGTCCCAGCTCTGACAGCAGACAG